AAATAAAATTCATACAAATGTAGTAAATTAATTTATAAATTATTTCCCTAAAAGCAGTAATTCTAATAATGATGAAAATTTGTAACTTAATTTTTCACCAAAACTAGCAGTAAAATTGAAATTCTATGTAGTAAATTGATAACACGAAAATGCAGTACTAACCTTTTGATATTTCCATTCACTCGCACAAGAATTCTATCCAAACTCGCACAGCTCGCCCACGAAGAATTGTTTAAATAATGAATTTCAGTTTCAAGCTTTCACACTCAACAACTCTAACACACGATAACAAGTTTCAATCTTTCCTTTAACCCGGTTGGAAAGGAATTATATACTAAACAAAACTAACCAATGCAGCTTACTAAACACCACAACACATAGAATAACAGCATGACTAAGAAAAGGAAACCAACGGTACCCAAACCGGATTAACCCAGTTTAAAACTGGATAATTTATTCTTTTGAAGACTATTATAAAGTCTAAGAAAGAAATAATAAAACACAAAAAAGTCGAAAGACAAACCCATACCAAAAACAATTTGATTTTTGAAAAAAGGACACAACCAACGAAACATAAGAAAAACCACAATAAACCTAACATAAAAAGTTATCACATAACAGGACCTCTCACAAAAGCCGCACGAAATCATACTCCCACTCCTGGCCTAACCCACCAGAGAGGACGTCCTGAGCATGCTCTATAGCCGGCCTAACCCACCGCGCTACATCCACGCTTTGTGACCACACTTCTATTTTTAATAAGAGGTACTCAAGGGTGAGTAACTTTTCAAAATAACCGAACTAAAACAAAAAGCTTTTGTGAAAACAACTAACCAAAATCATAATTAAAACACCAAACTAATAAAAATTTTATAAAATGTAAATTATACCTTGCAGTATATAGATCAGCATACAACACCAAAGACGAACATCCAAAGACAAAATGAACCCACTACACTCGAAAAAGAATGGCCAACCACAATCAATATGCCGCCCACAATCACAACTCAAAGGATTTAGAGTACGACTTGACTTCGCAGAAAAGGACTTCATTGAAATAGAACAATGACCACCTCGATGTTCAAGTATACGTACAGATCCGAGTAACCAGGCATCCCCTCCACGCACAATCTCCACGCCATTCCCAGACAAGGTCAACCCAAAAGAAGTTCTCTACATGGAACAGAAAAACCTGTCATAGCCAACCATTCTGAAATCAGATTTGAGTTTGTTGCGAAAACCCAGTCGTTGTCATGAGAAGACACCGCGATTGAACCTGGAACTTCTCTAACAAGAGAACCCAGAAGAAATATGATGTTCGCCAAATACCAACGTCCATCATCCACCCTTTGAATTGCAGAAAGACTATTCTAAAAAACTCTGTAAAACCCGGATGGGTGGAACCTGATTTAAACTACATTTTATGATTGGATAAATTAGATATTTTACCACTGTAAAGTATTTAATATTAACCAATCATGATCCATCTAACTAACAACCCACTTATTTGTAAGTGCTGAAATTACTTGTAATTTCAGCACCAGAGAGATTTGAATTTAACTTAGAACTTAGTTGCCTCTCCGAGAGAACTTCAGCAGCCGCAATAAACCAGTATACCCTAGATCTATTGAGCCTAGCAGAGACTAGTTAAACAACCTGAGACTAGATAGTATAAGAGTAAGATTAGGATCGGTATTAGACTAAGAAGTTGCACGAATCTATCCGGCCGAAAATAAGATAGCGTGACGAGCAGACGGTGTACCCTATCCGAAATTACTCTATGAGTTAACCACATCGGTCCTAACTCAAAAGGGTTCGTTTGGCTTAAATCGAGTAATGTTAAATTGATCTAGGTGCCTCATACTACGTCGTTTGAAAGTCGAACGTGTTTTCTGCGTTTGTGTTTCAGGTGTTGCAAAAAAGTTAAGTATATTGCCATTTTTTCGGATCAACGGTCGTTTACCCAAGTTCTGTCAGTTTGAGCTTTTTCAACAAACAAAATTCGTTTGAGAGCTTTCTTGGACAATTTAAACTGAAAAATAAAGTATAGATATTTAGGCTTGCGATAAGCAAGTGTTATCAAATCGGAATTTAATTTTTTTCGGTATAACTAGTTTGACAATTTTACTTGAATTCTTGAAGATTTAATTTATACTAGCAGACAACTGGACTATTGCTTTCGAATTCTTGAAGATTTAATTTATACTAGCAGACAACTGGACTATTGCTTTCAGAAGTTTCGTGCAGTAGTGTAAAAAACATTCATTACAAAAAACTGTCGGTCTATCATTTGTCTTATGTTTTGTTGGCTTCGTTGCCACATCACGTGCTCTGCTAGCAATTTCCTTTGTAGCTGCAAGTGTTTTTTTTACCCTGTAATACGTAAGTTTACAAGGCCTTACTTTGTTTATTTTTCTTTTGTTTTGCTTAAAAAATTCATTCGGTCTAAACGGTTTCGGCTTATAATTTATCTGCTTAATGATCTTTTTTCCGTCTATTGAAGGGGAAAACACAGAATATCATTTTAGAAATGCTCAAAAGAATTTAAAAAAAACTTGAATTTTCAGAGCGTTATGGCTCAAAGTTTTTCATCATTCACGGGAGTTTACCCAAGTTTTGCCGGCTTTGCTGCACCTCGATAAATATTTCTGGAATTTTAATTCATACCGACGATTTAATTTTGGACGTAGCTTGCTCAAATTGAAAATCGTTCGAGACAAATTATTTAAAAAATTGGTAACTGTTTTTTTTTGACATTCAGCAATTTTTGTAGCTTAGTGGCTTTCGTTTCTTTTTTGGCTGCTAGCTTACAATCCTATTGCGGGATATCTCAAGTGGTGCGAAAATCTGGTATGTTAGGATTTCTTTTACTCTCCCATAGATGCCATCAGGTGAAGTATGTTAATTCCTTGAAAAACTAGTGTCTCTGCACATTCTGTTCACCATCAAATTTCACTCATGATAGATCGATGTGGTTTCATTTGCTATAAATCAATGTGCTTAAGGCTTGCTCATATTCTGCCTATCTGATACTTTTCTAGTTCCACGGCGTTCTCGCAATGAGATTTCGTTTGGTTGTAAATGGAATCTAATTTGCAAACAATTTATTATTATTATTATTTATTCTCCTCCACTCGTACGTGATTGATGGTGGCATATATATCTCTGCCTCTTATCAAGTTTTTAGTTTGCCTTAGCTCAAATTAATTATCAGTTTTTTGAGTTGACTTTTTTCTTTGTTTGATTTTTGACTGCTTTATTTTAATTTTTGGGTCAAATGTTTGAGATCTTTTTCTTCATCATCTGGTTTAGCTTCCATTGTCGCGTATGCCACTGGTCGCTAGGTTTCCATATTCTGAGACTTTGCCAGACGAGTTAGGAAGCTGAGTTATTGTCTATGAGAATGAATTGTCTTGTCAGTTTTCGCTCAATGTACAGAAAAAAAGGTTTATAAAAATATGAATGTTTAGTCAATTATCAGATTGTTCTTTTTTAAATTTAGTTGATTCAGCGTGTTTTACCACACATAACTTCTAAAGCTCGTTTAGTTAAAATTAGTTTTGATGATAACATGTTAGAATCGGCATCATATTATTACTAGATATTCATTTTTCACTCGATGCAGTTCGCTGATAGACGAAAAAACAGATTATTCCGGATATTCAAACTAGTCTTGATGGAAAATGACCTTGATTTAAACAGGTTTCAATTAGGTTGAAAATTACTTGTTAGGAATTATTACATCTTGCAATATTTTTTTGTTTGGAGTGGGACCTCAAGAAACCCTGAGCTGACATGAAAAGAAAGATGAATTCATAACTAATCGTAGGAAATCAAAAAGACCCTCCTTTTGTATTAGTTCACTGGAATCATTCCCGGCTGACCAAACCTAAAATTTATCTAAAGGTGCTTTTATATACGAATGCTGAGGGGGAGCGCGCGCTTCAAAACGCAATTTTTTGGTCAAAACCTATCACAAAGTGCTCAAGAACATTTCTGGCATTTTTTTCTAAAAGTCGCCTAAGGCGCAGAAATTACTGGCAGAATAGTTATTATGGGAAAATAGGGGAAAATTAGTTTGGTCGAAAGCTAGAAAAAAGGTCGACAAAAATTTTTTTTTGGTTGCTCGTATAATAATTTCAAATTCTGGTTGCTATACAGTGCTGATTTAAATCAACCGGACAAAACGCGTTAAACTTGAAATTTAAAACGCGTTTTTCTCAAATTGGTTTGAGTGAAAACTTATGGAGACAAAACTTGCTTAAAATTTTAGCAGAATTAAAATGGTGTAATTTGTTTCGCGAAATTCGGGCCCAAAATTTTACCCCAAAAATGGGTCATTTTAGCTTTTCTTAGTTAATCAAAAATTACGCCGAAAATAACCAGTCGATCACAGACATAATTATATCAAAGTGAGCCCCTTACGTAGCCCAACAAACTTTAAGAAGGGTATTTTCTCCAAAAAAATTGCAAATTGTTTAATTATTGTTTTTAAATAAAAAGTTGGTATTTTATACAGTAAAAACGACCCTTTTTTGTCTATCAAACAAAAATAAATTAACTTCTACAATATTTTAAAGATTATACTCTTCTTAAAGTTTGTTGGGCTACGTAAGGAGCTCACTTTGATATAATTGTCTGTGATCGACTGGGTATTTTTTGGCGTAATTTTTGATTAACTAAGAAAAGCCAAATGACCCATTTTTGGGGTAAAGTTTTGGGCCCGAATTTCGCAAAACAAATTACACCATATTAATCCTGCTAAAATTTTAAGCAAGTTTTGTCTCCATACGTTTTCAGCTAAACTCAAACCAATTTGAGAAAAACGCGTTTTAAATTTGAAGTTTAGCTCGTTTTGTCCGGTTAATTTAAATCAGCACTGTAGCACCCACTTGTCAACATCTGAGTGTCTTAAGCTTCACATTCACATGTTTTTTTTTGGATCTGTAGTTATTTCTTAGTAAGAAAAACTATTTAGAATAAGTTCCAAATAAGCATGAATTCATCTGATTTCTTTAGAAACTAGGTTACGTGCTGTGTTGCTCTTGGTTTTGTTCTTAGCTGTTGTTTTAATTAGAGTTTATATTTACAATCGGACGGATACTAATGGCGATTCAGTTAGAACTAATCTGTCAAGGGAACAAATCGAGTCTTTCGGCTTGGAGGATTGGAGAAGAGTGTTCATTCCGAGCTACAGCGGCCCCCATTCCGAATGTCTCGCTGCTCAGCCCAAAAGAAGTGACATTTTCAGAGAAGAGAAAAAAGAATTTATCAAAAAGGAATTGGAGTTCTTGCAGAGTTACGACTACCTCACAAAGAAAGTGTTCAACTCCAAGCCCAATGTCGTATTCGTGGCTGGCGCCGAAGGTTCAGGACATCATTTCATGGCGAGTGCTTGGGAGAGAATATGTTCGGAGAAAGAATCACCGAACAGTTTTTGTTACCCAGAGACCAGTTTCAACAGCATAGTGCTGTGTCACGAGTACCAAAGGGAACAATTGAACCCAAGAGCAATTGGAGAACTCAGATTGGCCGCTAGACAATACAAAGGCAAACTGATGATAGTCAACACCTTCGGTGGTAAGAAGTTTTAAGTTGTCATCTGTTAAGCTCCCTAAGCAACACCAACAACGTATACCTTTGTTAATTCAGGAGTGAACAATAATAAGCAGTAAATTTTATTCCAATTTGATTTATTCAATGCTTCCATCGCCCCTAGATTATTGTTCTGACCTTCGCAGAAAGTGACGCAATATTTGTGGTCGGGGGGGGGGGGTGTTTTTTTCTCCAGACGAGTTTCGACTTTCTAACTAACAATTTGGAATAGTTAACGCGCAATATATTTTCTATTGTTTTAAGAAAGTTTTGTAGGGCAAAGGGAAAAGTGTTAGAAAACAGACGACAAAACGGCTAACTTGTTTATTTTCAGCTGGCCCGAACTTTAGAATGCCTGAAAAATAATTCTATGATTTTTTTGTGAAGTTTTGTTCATTGTTAATCACAAATAGTGCAAATTTAAAATTTTATGCCAATTTAGAGTCCGGACAAATGCATTCATATCCGTTCTGCAAGAGTAAGGAAAAAATAGCGAACCCAGATATTCGCCAACTGGCAGAGCTCTACGAAAGTGCTGGCTTCGACTTCCGAGTCGTTCTACTAGATCGCACTCCGGAGTCTAGCATGGCCTCCCTGTTGATAAGCAGAGGTATGAGGCACAAGCAACAGTTGATGTGGCAGGCACAGGAGATGACGGCTGGCTTACAGGCTTTGAACATGCAACTTTCCAAACTGGATCCCAGGTTTCTCGCAGGTGCTGTCTCGCTAGAGAGACGCAAACGAGAAAACAAAGACAACGCCTACCTCCATCTGGAAAAATCACTTAGTTTATCCAGCGACTCATTAAAGAAGATGTTTAAGGGTTTCCACAGCAAGGAGCCACAATGCATTGACAGTGCTAATGAAGATCAAACTCAATTAGAGAAGCATTTGGTCGATTTGTACAAACAATACTACCAATACCACACTTGTTATGTCAGTCCATTGTTGAGTTAGCCATTCTGGGCTCCACGTGAGATGTTATAACCAAATTCAGATACCTTTATAAAGTACAGTTTTATTACAGTAATAAAAAAATAGTTTTGGATTGAAATGTAACAAACGAGACACTTATGCAGTTTGACGTAAAGTCTCGTTGGATTGACTTTGTTGCTACTCGGGTCGAGGTCCTCACTTTATACTTCGACCTTCATGACAAAACTTCGGTTTTTCAAATGTGTATTAAAATTTGTGTGTACATGTTGGCAAAAAACTGCCGCGAATGCAATTGTGTATTAAAATTTATTTAAAATAACTAGGATTTTTTTATTCCGACTTTTGAAGAAAAAGCAGTAGCTAGCGGGTTTGCGGGACAAGGGAGTGCGCTCTCCAACTTAGGGATTCGACACCCTGCTGACCCAATATTTAACATATTGGGCTCATCCCAATCCATCGCAAATCACGGACCAAAAATTGGGCTCATCTTTGCCCCCTTTGTTCAAAACCAGTTTCCAAGAGAGACTCAAACTGACTTGGAGTACCCAAAACCTCTGCGCTATCTCTGATGTATCAATCTTTTCAGTCAGTGGCGGGTTTAGGGGGGAAGACGCCCCTCCCCTACGGATTCGACCCCCTGCCGACCCAAATATTTAGAAAATCGGGTTCATCCCCTTCCATCGCAATTAACAGACCAAAAATTGGGTTCATTTTTGCCCCCTTTTGTTAAAAAAAAACAATTTCCAAGAGAGACTCAAACCGATATTTGGAGTACCAAAAACCTCTGCGCTACTTCTGATCTACCAATCAGTTTGCTACGCACTATCATATATACGTTTTGGGCCTGTGTAAACTGCTCGTTCAATTCTTTGATTGCTGAAAGCGCAACACGAAATATAGTCCCGCACGTGAAAATTGTTCGCACACTTAATATTTTCAAAAAGTGGTTGCAGGGTAGTTTTAATGCTGTCAGAATTTTCAGTGCTTCGCGCTGAGAAACGAGCAAAATTGCTCCGTATATTGGAAACTTTTAGTTTAGTATACCTTATTTTTGTATTCGGGGTCTCCGCTGCTATGCGGCCCTAAATTACCAAAGTTACTTTAGAAACTAGGTTATGTGCTGTGTTGCTCTTGGTTTTGTTCTTAGCTGTTGTTTTAATTAGAGTTTATATTTACAATCGGACGGATACTAATGGCGATTCAGTTAGAACTAATCTGTCAAGGGAACAAATCGAGTCTTTCGGCTTGGAGGATTGGAGAAGAGTGTTCATTCCGAGCTACAGCGGCCCCCATTCCGAATGTCTCGCTGCTCACCCTAAAAGAAGTGACATTTTCAGAGAAGAGAAAAAAGAATTTATCAAAAAGGAAGTGGAGTTCTTGCAGAGTTACGACTACCTCACAAAGAAAGTGTTCAACTCCAAGCCCAAGGTCGTATTCGTGGCTGGCGCCGAAGGTTCAGGACATCATTTTATGGCGAGCGCTTGGGAGAGAATATGTTCGGAGAAAGAATCACCGAACAGTTTTTGTTACCCAGAGGCCAGTTTCAACAGCATCGTGCTGTGTTACGAGTACCAAAGGGAACAATTGAACCCAAGAGCAATTGGAGAACTCAGATTGGCCGCTAGACAATACAAAGGCAAACTGATGATAGTCAACACCTTCGGTGGTAAGAAGTTTTAAGTTGTCATCTGTTAAGCTCCCTAAGCAACACCAACAACGTATACCTTTGTTAATTCAGGAGTGAACAATAATAAGCAGTAAATTTTATTCCAATTTGATTTATTCAATGCTTCCATCGCCCCTAGATTATTGTTCTGACCTTCGCAGAAAGTGACGCAATATTTGTGGTCGGGGGGGGGGGGGGGTGTTTTTTTCTCCAGACGAGTTTCGACTTTTTAACTAACAATTTGGAATAGTTAACGCGCAATATATTTTCTATTGTTTTAAGAAAGTTTTGTAGGGCAAAGGGAAAAGTGTTAGAAAACAGACGACAAACGGCTAACTTGTTTATTTTCAGCTGGCCCGAACTTTAGAATGCCTGAAAAATAATTCTATGATTTTTTTGTGAAGTTTTGTTCATTGTTAATCACAAATAGTGCAAATTTAAAATTTTATGCCAATTTAGAGTCCGGACAAATGCATTCATATCCGTTCTGCAAGAGTAAGGAAAAAAATTGCGAACCCAGATATTCGCCAACTGGCAGAGCTCTACGAAAGTGCTGGCTTCGACTTCCGAGTCGTTCTACTAGATCGCACTCCGGAGTCTAGCATGGCCTCCCTGTTGATAAGCAGAGGTATGAGGCACAAGCAACAGTTGATGTGGCAGGCACAGGAGATGACGGCTGGCTTACAGGCTTTGAACATGCAACTTTCCAAACTGGATCCCAGGTTTCTCGCAGGTGCTGTCTCGCTAGAGAGACGCAAACGAGAAAACAAAGACAACGCCTACCTCCATCTGGAAAAATCACTTAGTTTATCCAGCGACTCATTAAAGAAGATGTTTAAGGGTTTCCACAGCAAGGAGCCACAATGCATTGACAGTGCTAATGAAGATCAAACTCAATTAGAGAAGCATTTGGTCGATTTGTACAAACAATACTACCAATACCACACTTGTTATGTCAGTCCATTGTTGAGTTAGCCATTCTGGGCTCCACGTGAGATGTTATAACCAAATTCAGATACCTTTATAAAGTACAGTTTTATTACAGTAATAAAAAAATAGTTTTGGATTGAAATGTAACAAACGAGACACTTATGCAGTTTGACGTAAAGTCTCGTTGGATTGACTTTGTTGCTACTCGGGTCGAGGTCCTCACTTTATACTTCGACCTTCATGACAAAACTTCGGTTTTTCAAATGTGTATTAAAATTTGTGTGTACATGTTGGCAAAAAACTGCCGCGAATGCAATTGTGTATTAAAATTTATTTAAAATAACTAGGATTTTTTTATTCCGACTTTTGAAGAAAAAGCAGTAGCTAGCGGGTTTGCGGGACAAGGGAGTGCGCTCTCCAACTTAGGGATTCGACACCCTGCTGACCCAAATATTTAACATATTGGGCTCATCCCAATCCATCGCAAATCACGGACCAAAAATTGGGCTCATCTTTGCCCCCTTTGTTCAAAACCAGTTTCCAAGAGAGACTCAAACTGACTTGGAGTACCCAAAACCTCTGCGCTATCTCTGATGTATCAATTTTTTCAGTCAGTGGCGGGTTTAGGGGGGAAGACGCCCCTCCCCTACGGATTCGACCCCCTGCCGACCCAAATATTTAGAAAATCGGGTTCATCCCCTTCCATCGCAATTAACAGACCGAAAATTGGGTTCATTTTTGCCCCCTTTTGTTAAAAAAAAAACAATTTCCAAGAGAGACTCAAACCGATATTTGGAGTACCAAAAACCTCTGCGCTACTTCTGATCTACCAATCAGTTTGCTACGCACTATCATATATACGTTTTGGGCCTGTGTAAACTGCTCGTTCAATTCTTTGATTGCTGAAAGCGCAACACGAAATATAGTCCCGCACGTGAAAATTGTTCGCACACTTAATATTTTCAAAAAGTGGTTGCAGGGTAGTTTTAATGCTGTCAGAATTTTCAGTGCTTCGCGCTGAGAAACGAGCAAAATTGCTCCGTATATTGGAAACTTTTAGTTTAGTATACCTTATTTTTGTATTCGGGGTCTCTGCTGCTATGCGGCCCTAAATTACCAAAGTTACTTTAGAAACTAGGTTATGTGCTGTGTTACTCTTGGTTTTGTTCTTAGCTGTTGTTTTAATTAGAGTTTATATTTACAATCGGACGGATACTAATGGCGATTCAGTTAGAACTAATCTGTCAAGGGAACAAATCGAGTCTTTCGGCTTGGAGGATTGGAGAAGAGTGTTCATTCCGAGCTACAGCGGCCCCCATTCCGAATGTCTCGCTGCTCAGCCTAAAAGAAGTGACATTTTCAGAGAAGAGAAAAAAGAATTTATCAAAAAGGAAGTGGAGTTCTTGCAGAGTTACGACTACCTCACAAAGAAAGTGTTCAACTCCAAGCCCAAGGTCGTATTCGTGGCTGGCGCCGAAGGTTCAGGACATCATTTTATGGCGAGCGCTTGGGAGAGAATATGTTCGGAGAAAGAATCACCGAACAGTTTTTGTTACCCAGAGACCAGTTTCAACAGCATCGTGCTGTGTCACGAGTACCAAAGGGAACAATTGAACCCTAGAGCAATTGGAGAACTCAGATTGGCCGCTAGACAATACAAAGGCAAACTGATGAGAGTCAACACCTTCGGTGGTAAGAAGTTTTAAGTTGTCATCTGTTAAGCTCCCTAAGCAACACCAACAACGTATACCTTTGTTAATTCAGGAGTGAACAATAATAAGCAGTAAATTTTATTCCAATTTGATTTATTCAATGCTTCCATCGCCCCTAGATTATTGTTCTGACCTTCGCAGAAAGTGACGCAATATTTGTGGTCGGGGGGGGGGGGTGTTTTTTTCTCCAGACGAGTTTCGACTTTTTAACTAACAATTTGGAATAGTTAACGCGCAATATATTTTCTATTGTTTTAAGAAAGTTTTGTAGGGCAAAGGGAAAAGTGTTAGAAAACAGACGACAAACGGCTAACTTGTTTATTTTCAGCTGGCCCGAACTTTAGAATGCCTGAAAAATAATTCTATGATTTTTTTGTGAAGTTTTGTTCATTGTTAATCACAAATAGTGCAAATTTAAAATTTTATGCCAATTTAGAGTCCGGACAAATGCATTCATATCCGTTCTGCAAGAGTAAGGAAAAAAAAGCGAACCCAGATATTCGCCAACTGGCAGAGCTCTACGAAAGTGCTGGCTTCGACTTCCGAGTCGTTCTACTAGATCGCACTCCGGAGTCTAGCATGGCCTCCCTGTTGATAAGCAGAGGTATGAGGCACAAGAAACAGTTGATGTGGCAGGCACAGGAGATGACGGCTGGCTTACAGGCTTTGAACATGCAACTTTCCAAACTCATCCCAATCCATCGCAAATCACGGACCAAAAATTGGGCTCATCTTTGCCCCCTTTGTTCAAAACCAGTTTCCAAGAGAGACTCAAACTGACTTGGAGTACCCAAAACCTCTGCGCTATCTCTGATGTATCAATCTTTTCAGTCAGTGGCGGGTTTAGGGGGGAAGACGCCCCTCCCCTACGGATTCGACCCCCTGCCGACCCAAATATTTAGAAAATCGGGTTCATCCCCTTCCATCGCAATTAACAGACCAAAAATTGGGTTCATTTTCGCCCCCTTTTGTTAAAAAAAAAACAATTTCCAAGAGAGACTCAAACCGATATTTGGAGTACCAAAAACCTC